GGCCCGGCCCTACCATCTGCTCCCCGCAGTCCCCTGGTCTGAAGTGACTGCCCGGAGGCTCCGCGGTCTGCAGTGAAGGCCCGGCCCGGGGCCTCCCTGCCCGTCCCGTCTGGCCCGCGGCCCGGCCTGACAGCGCCCTCTCCTTCCGCAGGCCTACTATCGACAGGGGGTGGCGCTTCAGTGCATGGGTCGCCATGGCGAGGCGCTGGCCGCCTTCAGCCAGGGCCTGGCCCAGGACGCCAAGTCGCTGCAGCTGCTGGCCGGCCTGGTCGAAGCCGCCATGAAGTCGCCACTCAGAGGTAGGCTGTGTCCGGCTCTCCGACCGGCTGACGGCGCTGGACCTGAAGCGAGCTGGGGCGCCACGGCTGGCCAACCAGTGCCGAGTGGTAGCTGTACGCCGGAGCGGGACCGCGGTCCCTCGGGCGTGAAGAACTGGCGGAAGTTGTACGTCCACGCTGGAGGGGAGCGTGGAATGTCAGCACCGCGCACGACGTTGCCATTGTGCCGCGGACGCCAGACCTGTCTGCTGCAAATGGACGCATTGTAAGCAAATGGAGCCGTTGCGTGAGGATGCTCGACATGGTGTGCGTGCTACGTCACTGCCCGGATCTTGACCGAAGCCGTGCTGAGGGTGGCGCCCTGACCCGGCCTGACCTGACCCTCCCGCCCGGCAGCCACTCTGGAGCCGACGTACCGGCAGGCTGCAGGCGATGCGGCTGGACAAGTCGCCGTTCGTCATCATCTCCGTCATCGGCCAGGAGCTGCTGGCCGCCGGCAACTGCGGCGCGGCCGTGGCCGTGCTCGAGTCGGCGCTCAAGATCGGCACGTGCAGTCTGAAGCTGCGCGGCAGCGTCTTCTCGGCCCTGTCGGTCCGCCTACTGGGCAATGAACTCGCTCGACAGGTCAGCGGCTCGCCGGCGGGTCGTGGTACCTCTCCCGTCACGGCCCACTAGGTGCTGGCTCCCCCTGCGGCTCTGTTGCTCCCGCCGTCACGGCCCGCTGGGTGCTGGCTCCCCTGCGGCTCTGTCGCTCCCGCCGTCACGGCCCGCTGGGTGCCTGGCTCCCCTAGGCTCCTGTCGCTCCCGCTGTCGTTGCCCACAGAGCGAGACACCAAGCTTAAAACTGTGCCAATGTGGCCGACGTGGGCGTGCTAAAGCTTCCTCCACGAAAGCAGTGTGTGACCCAGCTCTTCACCGCAGGCCATCAGCTACATGCAGCAGGACTTGAACGTGGCCAAGTCGCTGGAGGACATCGCCGGTGAGTGCCGCGCCCACGGTAACCTCGGCTCGGCCTACTTCAGCAAGGGCAACTTCAAGGAGGCGCTCACGTCGCACCGGTACCAGCTGGTGCTGGCCATGAAGTGCAAGGACACGCAGGCGGCGGCGGCGGCGCTCACCAGTCTGGGTAAGCGCCCAGAGCGCGGCGGCCGCGAGGCGCGGGATTGGACCGGGACGGTCAGCGCACGGGCCAGGGAGCCGCTGAGGTTGGGCGGTCGTCGGTGAGGCTCCAGTGGGACCAGGCCGATGTCATTACTTTGCTGTCATTGCTTTTCCATGATGGACATGGATAACGCTTTGCTGCCTTTGAGTCGGCTGGTTCATTGCGCGAATGGTGTGTTAGGGCTGGTATCGGTATCGCATGACCCAGGCGGCGGACTGTACCCACCACCTATACGGTGGAATGGAAGCCGCCGTGGGATGACCCGCCGCCCTCCTCAGGACACGTGTACACGGCGATCGGCGACTACCCGAACGCGCTGGCGTCGCACAAGCAGTGCGTACAGCTGGTGCGCCAGCTGGCCGACCAGCTGCAGGAGGCGCGCGAGATCGGCAACGTGGGCGCCGTCTACCTGGCCATGGGCGACTTCGACAACGCCGTCGACTGCCACAAGGAGCACCTACGCATCTCCAAGCAGCTCGGCAACCGGGTGGAGGAGGCGCGTGCCTTCAGCAACCTGGGCAGCTCACACCACTACCGGCGCAGCTTCGAGCGCGCCATCACGTTCCACCAACAGGTGCTGCGCATCGCCCAGCAGCTGGGGGACCGCACCATCGAGGCGCGCGCCTATGCCGGCCTCGGGCACGCGGCGCGCTGCCTCGGCGACTACGCGCAGGCCAAGAAGTGGCACGAGAAGCAGCTGGACATGGCGCTCAGCACCAAGGACCGCACGGCCGAGGGGCGCGCCTGCTCCAACCTGGGCATCGTGTACCAGCTGCTCGGCGATCACGACGCGGCGCTGAAGCTGCACCAGGCGCATCTCAACATCGCGCGCCTGCTGCAGGACCGCGCCGGCATGGGCCGCGCCTTCGGCAACATCGGCAACGCCTACAGCTCCATGGGCTACTACGAGCAGGCCATCAAGTACCACAAGCAGGAGTTGACCATCAGCAAGGAGGTGAACGACCGCAGCAGCGAGGCGTCGACGCATGGCAACCTGGCCGTGGCGTACCAGGCGCTCGGCATGCACGAGATGGCGCTGCTGCACTACTTGGGCCACCTCAACATCGCGCGCGAGCTCAAGGACACGGCCGGCGAGGCGTGCGCGCTCTGCAACCTGGGCAACTGCCACAGCTCGCGCGGTCAGTTCGCTCTGGCCGTGCCCTACTACGAACAGTACCGCCAGCTGTCGCACGACCTGCAGGACGTGGAGGGCGAAGCCAAGGCATGCCACTTCCTCGGCTACGCGCACTACTGCCTGGCCAACTACAGCGAGGCGGTGCACTACTACGACCAGGACCTGGCGCTGGCCAAGGACCTGCAGGACAAGATGAGCATGGGGCGGGCCTACTGCAACCTCGGCCTGGCGCATCTGGCGCTCGGCAACTGCGAGAAGGCGCTCGAGTGCCAGAAGTTCTTCCACGGTAAGATGAAACTGCTGGGCTTTCATTTCTGCCGCTTGTCTTGTTAGACAAGGAGATGTGTGTCAATGGTTCTTTGTGAAAAAAACGTTGTCGCCGTCTGAGAGGCTGTGATATCACAGACCAGTTTTTCATGCGTCCGGTTCATACCCACTGCTCCACATTGTATTCCTGCTGTCGAGCCGGGCGCGGTGTGACGTGTCCGACGCGTGATGATCGTCATAGTGGCTCGTCCGGCCGTCTGACTGCTCCCCCCCCCCCCCTCTGTCCAGCCATCGCGCACCTGCTGAAGCACGCGCAGGGCACGTGCCGCGCGCTCGGCAACATGGGCGACGTGCTGATGAAGACTGGCGGTCACGAGGAAGCGGTGCACTGCTACCACAAGCAGCTGGCGGCCGCCCGACACAGCCGCGACAAGCAGCTGCAGTGCTGCGCCTTCAGCGCGCTCGGCTTGGCGCACCGCCAGCTGCGTCAGCTCGACAAGGCGCTCGGCTTCCACACGCAGGTCAGCGGCCCCTCCCGACCGCGCGCGTGTGTCGCTGTGGACAGCGGTCACCTGCACCGCTGCGCTGGTCAGCGGCCCCTCCCGGCCGCATGCGTGTGTCGCTGTAGACAACGTTCACCTGTACGGCCGGCTCCGGTGTTCGGGTGGGACGGCGCACGGCATCTGTAGCGTTCAGGACGCCGGCCGTGTTCGGTGTACGCGGTGGCTGGTCGCGAGCGCCCCAGCTCTGCGGCGGCGGCGTACCGGGCAGGTATTCGCAAGCCGCGCAAAGCGTTTCGCCGGCGGAGCAAACCGACGGGCCGCCGGCGCCGCCGGGCCGGAAATTATAGACCGCAGCTCGATAAATTCGGTAGCTCCGACCACCTCAGTCCGGACCTGTTATAGGGCCAAACGACCGGGGCGACGCCGTCATTAAATCGTCATTGCAGACGCAGCGTAATTGGCCGCCGGCGCGGTTTGAATGGCGAGCCACGCTCGTAAAACCAATCCAGGAGGCTGCGCGTGAATTAGGCATCGATGATTCTCGCGAAAGTATCCAGTGGTCGGGGAGGAGCCGACCGGTGGTCGTTGGGCTACAGTAATTGCAGATAATGGACGGGAACGGGCCGTATGAAGCACGGGAGAGCGTAAGGTGGATGATAGAACCGCCATTTAGCGATTGCAAATAGGAGCTTCCGCCGGGATCATCGTGGAAATTGGCGAGATTTTATCCCTTCTGCGAACTATTGCTATTGAGGGAAGTCGTTAGTCTGCGGCCGGCGGCAAGGAATTTCACCGGCCTTGCTCTGTCGTAAATGGACCGTCGGAACTGCTCAGCCTTGTCCCGACGCCGGATGTCGGATACGCATAAGACATTCTCTGCAATTAGTAATGAGTTTCATCACATTTGATGAACGCCGCAGAGATAATTTATGCGATATTTAGCTGCGGTAGTGTAATCTCATAAGTGGTAACGTCTGTGCAGTTTTTCGCACAGGGAAACGTCCCAGGAGACCACCAATTGCATACGATGATCACGCTGCACGATTACATGTTGCGTTCAATGAACGTACCTGCAAGTTCATGCGCCGCTGCCGATGCGTCCCGAATATCCAAGACGGCGCAAGAGGCTATGTAGTTGATGAGCCGCAATCCTTGTAATAATCGCAGGTAATCCTTGTAATATCCGCAGGCAATCCTTGTGGCCATCTTTCGACTTGCAAACGAGTATCAGCCCGCCTTAAAACGAGTATCAGTCCGCCTTACAGAGAGAGTCGTGACGTTCAATGTGCAGCTCCTGCCGCGGCCCCCCCCCCCCCCCCTCCAACGTCTTCCAGCCCTGGCGAAATCATCCCGCGCCCAGTCGAGCCACCATGCCGCCGGCCCGCTATCGACCCGACCCGACCCGAACTGACCTGACCTGACCTGACCTGACCTGGCCTGACTCGTTCGCAGGAGCTGACCATTCGACAGGAGGTGGCTGACCTGCGTGGCGAGTGCAAGGCGCACGGCCACCTGGGTGCCGTCCACATGGCGCTCGGCAACTACACCAACGCCATCAAGTGCTACGTGGAACAGCTGGACCGGTGAGGGCGGCGGCGCGGCGGTCATCTGAAGTCCAGCATGTGTTACGTACAATTTTAGCTATAGCCCGAGCCAAGCCAGACCATGTTTCTGTCCTGTGACGAGTATAGCCTTGGATCGGTCACAAAATGAGCATGACTTTGGTTTCGTCCCGTGTTGAGCTCGATATCGACTCTGGTCTGCCTCGTGATTAATCTGACTTTGACTCTGGCCTGCCTCGTGATAAATCTGATCTTGACTCTGGTCTGGTTCGTGATGAGGTTATATCGGCTTTGTGATGTTTGAAGCCAATCTTGACGCCGTCAAAGGCAGAGGCAGGGCCTTGGTACGCCTTGTGTTTGCATCGGATTTTGGCTCCGCCTGGAAAGCCTAAAATCAGAGGTGTTTTGTCTGAAATGGGCGCCGATATGTGCCGACTCTGGTATCGGCAGTGGTGCGTCCATCCGCCCAGTTCCTTCCGAGGACGCTGGCGGTGTCACTCAAAACATGCGTGACGGTTCCCCCGCTGCTCGCCTTCCACAGAGCCAAGGACCTGTGCGACGCCGTGATGGAGGCGCAGGCGTTCGGCAACCTGGGCATCGCGCGCCTCAACATGTCGCACTTCGAGGACGCCATCGGCTACTTCGAGCAGCAGCTGGCCACGCTGGAGCAGATCCCCAGCGGCGCGGCGCTCATGGACAAGGCCCGCTCGTTCGGCAACCTCGGCGACTGCTACGACGCCATCGGCGACCACGAGGAGGCCATCAAGTGTCACGAGCAGCTGCTGAGCCTGGCGCTGCAGCTGCGGGCCAGCAGGGAGCAGGAGCGCGCGTACCGCGGCCTCGGCGCCAGCCACCGCAGCCTGGGTCACCTGCAGCAGGCGCTCGTCTGCTACGAGAAGCGGCTGGTGGTGTCGCACGAGCTCAACAGCCCGCACGCGAAGGCCTCCGCCTACGGCGAGCTGGGGGTCATCCACGGCCGGCTGGGCAACTTCGAGCAGGCGCTCTCCTGCCTCGACCACCAGCTGAACATCGCCAGGTAAGCCGAGCCGCCCTCCCACGCCGTCTCGCCGGCGCACGCTTTGTGAGGCCCGCTTGCGTGCTTGGCTTGACCTTTTGCATGAGACCGCTGCGTGATACGGTTGGCGTTGTTAGACGGGCAATCGTGATCGATCGCTGATCACCTGAGCAAAGGCGGGCATGCCCAGTGCTGATCTTCTTGGAAAAGAGAAGCAAATAACGTGAACTGAAACGCTAAGCGCATACCATCTCCGTCATCCAATTTCGGCGTCCGGGTGGCGGCGCGGACCGTTCCAATGACGTCAAACCGTGGGTATCTGGAGCTTAACAGGGGTGGCTTCCGGTCGGCAGGGAGCTGGAGGACACGGTCCTGGAGGCGGAGGCGGCCAGCGGCCTCGGCTGCGTGCACCAGCAGATGGGCGACTTCCAGGCGGCGCTCGAGTTCCACCAGCTGGACGCGGCCATCTCGGCGCGCTCCGGCCTGGCCGCCGGTCAGGCGCGCGCGCACGGCCACCTGGGCGCTGCGCACGAGTCACTCGGTGACCTGGAGCAGGCCGTGGTGCACCTGGAGCAGCAGCTGAGCGTGGCAGCGCAGACCAACGACAAGGCAACCAAGACGGCCGCCTACGCCAGCCTGGGCCGCGTGCATCACGCGCTGGGTAACAGGCCGCAGGCGATCGCCTACTTGCGCCAGGGCCTGCAGATCGCCGAGCAGCTGAGCCGGCGCGAGGAGGAGGCGCGCCTGCGCCACCGGCTCGGCCTGGCGCTCTGGGGACACGGCGACCTGGCCGGCGCGCAGACCCAGCTGGAGCGGGCCGCCTTCCTGCTGGAGGGCGTGAGGCGCGAGGCGCGCGGCACCAGCCAACACCGGCTCGGCCTCTACGACCTGCAGACGGCCGCGTTCCAGGCGCTTCAGGTGAGGCGCGGACGGCCGCCGGACCGGAGTCGGACGGGAGCCGGACCCGAGTCGGACCGGAGCCGGGCCGGAGCCGGACCGGAGCCGGACCGGAGTCGGACCGGAGTCGGACCGGAGTCGGACCGGAGCCGGACCGAAGTCGGACCGGCGCCGGACCGGAGTCGGACCGCGAGCGCTGGCTCCAGAGGAGGCGTGAACGGCCGCTCGGATATGGGCTGCGAGGGCTGGCTGCAGGATGTGGCACGGAAACGGTGGCAGCGCGCCCAACGAGCGATAGAAGGGATTCAACCGCAATGCCCTGTCGATGGGAATGGGAGCAATCATTTGACGATGATATCCGAGCATCCGTCAAACGTCATGGTGACATTATTGTACTTGTGGTATCATGCAAACGGCTTGGGCCCTCCAAAATTTGCTGCTTCATGCCTGGCACCCTTCTCTTACTATTATCTATCCAAATTATGTTTAGCAACAGTAGGTATACGAGTACACGAGATCCCAATCATGTCTCGATACATTGCCAAGCTCCAGACTCCGGACAATGCCAGGAAAACTGATGGGGAATAGCTTCTCACACTCGGTCATGCGTTCTTCTCACATTTTCAGCGCGTGCTGGTGTCGCTAGGCTGCCAGGACGAAGCGCTGGTGGTGGCCGAGCGCAGCCGGACGCGCGCCTTCGCCGACCTGCTCCTGGAGCGCTCCAACAGCGGCTTCAGCAGCAGCCGCTTCACGCGCGTCGACGACAACACGCCCACCTCGGTGGAGCAGATTGTGGAGGCGGTGGCCAAGCAGAAGGCCACCGTGCTTTACTACAGCCTGGCGGCCGGCGCCCTCTTCAGCTGGCTGATCGTGCCCGGCCGCGGTATCGTCAAGTTCCACGAGGTGACGGTGGGCGCCACCGACCGGCCGGCGCACGCGGCCGCCCACCCGGCCGACGCCAGCCTGCTCGAATCGCACATTGAGTCGGTGCGCGACGCGCTGGGCGTCGAGCTGCAGACGGCCGGCGGCGAGCGCGACACGGACGCCGACGCCGGCGACATGTGGCAGCAGCACCTGGAACAGCTCGGCGACCGGCTCAACCAGGAGGGCGACAAGACCGGCTTCCTGCGCATGGTCAACCGCGGCCACGCCTGCAACTCGTCCAACTACAGCCTGTCCAGCATGTTCAGTGCCTTCTCGTGCAGCCGCGGCAGCGGCAGCGTGAGCGGTGGCTGCCAGAGCCGCGGCGGCTCGGTGCGCTCGCGCCGCGCCGTCTGGCAGGGGCCGCAGTGTCTGCGCTCGCTGTACGAACTGCTGATCGCGCCCATGGAAGAGCATCTGCCGAGCAACGCCTACCCGCGCGACCTGATGCTCGTGCTCGAGGGCGACCTCTACCTGGTGCCGTTCCCGGTGCTGAAGGCGCCCGACAGCAGCGAGTTCCTCTGCGAGCGCTTCAACTTGATCCTGACGCCGTCCATCAGCACGCTGCGCTCGGGCGCGCGGCCGCGCGGCGCCCGCGCCGGCGGCGAACAGACGGCGGCGCTGGTGGTGGGCAACCCGCGCCTGCCAGCCGCGCTCGGCGAGCAGTGGGGCTGGGCTGACCTGCCGTACGCCGAGCAGGAGGCCCATATGGTGGCCGAGATGCTGCAGACGGAGCCGCTGACGGGCGCCGCCGCCTCCAAGGAGGCGCTGCTGCAGCAGCTGGCGCAGGCCGAGTGCGTCCACCTGGCGACGCACGTCTCCTGGAAGCTGTCGGCCGTGGTGCTGTCGCCGGGCGAGTTCGTGGACGCCCGCTCTTCGCAGCGCGCCGCCTCGCACGGCTCGCAGTGCGAGTCACAGCACGAGGACGACCACTCGGAGGCGGCCTCGTCCAGTGACCTGCCGCCGCTCTCCGAGTTCCTGCTGACGGCCGCCGACATCCTCGGCCTCAAGCTGACCGCCAAGCTGGTGGTGGTGAGCTCGTGCCACACGCGCGACCACCACGGCCGCGCCAGCTCGGACGGCGTGGTCGGGCTGACGCGTGCCCTGCTGGCCGCCGGCGCCCAGTGCGTGCTCGTCTCGCTGTGGCCCGTGCCCGACACGGCCGTCAAGATCCTGTACCGCACCTTCTACTCTTGTCTGCTGCAGGTCAGTGGTGGCGCCGCTCCGCGCTGTCGGCTCGTCGCTGAGTGTCCGCAAACATAGGCACGCCTGAGATGGACCGCGGGTGGCATGCTGTCCATAATTAGCAGTCTGGCTGCCTTATGCAGCTTTTGCATTGCGATGGGGCATTTTGTGCTCAACCATTCGAGCAACGGATCCGCGTGTAGAAACCAGTGCTGACACAACCGGTCTAACGAGCGTAACTACAGAAAACACCCAAAAGATACACATTGCTGAAATAATCTCCATATTTCCGATCCTATTTTAACTACCACACTAATGCAGGATGTGGTTCAGCTATCTGTGCCCCGTGCGGACCAGATGTCGTGCTCTTAGGGGGGACTGCGGGCGGCCGTGCTGCCGCATCTGACGCGTGTCCACCCGCCGGCAGGGCGCCCGCGTCAGCCGCGCGCTCAACGACGCCATGCAGACGGTACAGAACACCAAGCACTTCGCGCACCCGGCCAACTGGGCCGGCTACCTGCTGGTCGGCACCGACGTCAAGCTGACCAACAAGGTGGCGCTGATGGGCCAGGCGCTGTGCGAGCTGCTGCAGCAGCCGGACCGCTTGCCGGGACGCGCTGCGCGTCACGCTGCACCTGATGGAGAAGTCGCTGCAGCGCATTCAGCGCGGCCACAAGAACGCCATGTACACCACGCAGCAGTCGATCGAGAGCAAGGTGAACGGGCTCGGCGGCTGGAAGGAGCTGCTCGTCTCGGTCGGCTTCCGCTTCGAGCCGGCCGCGCACGGCATCCCGAGCTCGGTGTTCTTCCCGCAGTCGGACCCGGGCCAGCGGCTGACGCAGTGCTCGGCCAGCCTGCAGGCGCTGCTCGGCCTGCCGCCGGCCTCGCTGGCCGCGCTCTGCAAGCTGCTGGCGCACCGCGACCAGGCCGAGGACGTGATCGGCGTCATCCGCGGCGTTCTGGCGCAGCCGGCCGCCGCCGACCTCGACTCAGAGAGCATCGAGACGGCTGTCGACGTGCGGCTCTGGCGAGTCAGCGGGTGCCACGAGCTGCTCGCCTCGCTAGGTAAGGGATCAGATCTCGTGGGCGGTTCGGCGGGTGGGGTTGCGGGCCGCGAGGGCGGCTGCCAGAGCTGTTGGCAACTTGAGGCTTCTTGGTGCGGAGGAGCTGGTGCAGCTTGTTACGATCCGCCATGATCAGCATTGGGAGGATTTGGCAATCGGATATTCGTGAAAAGTACGTGAGTAGGATATCCATTGCGGGTTGCTGCCGGATAACATTTTGCAGAGCTGACGTTTGCTCTGAATGTGATCTGTAACTGGGACGGTTCTTTTACAGGTTTTGACCTGACTGAGGTGGGCAAAGACGAGGTCCACCTGCGCACTGGAAAGAGCGCCAACAAACGCACCATTCAGTTTGCCCTGCAGGCTCTCCTGGCTTTGTTCGGTAAGTCCCTATTTATCACGTCCTAGTTGACCGCGTGCTGGCAGCATCTGACTCACCGTGTTTACGTGACCATATTCGTCAGTTCCGTGATCGTGGTGAATCAAAGTTGTGATGACTAAGGAGCAGTTTATTTCACCGCATACATGGGACATTTTCAAAGTGGTGACACGTGAGAATCTCACCGTACCTACCTCCCGCAGACACGCAAGACGCGCCCAAGAGTCTGGACATCGAGTGCCTGTCGTCGGGCGAGAGCAGCGACGAGAGCGAGAGCGAGGAGGCGCCTCCGCCGATCGCCGCACCCTCCGCCTTCAGCACCGTACCGCAGCGCGCGCCGCTGCTGCTCGGCTCGGGCGCCTTCAGCAGCTACGTGCGCGGGCGCGGGGAGCCGGACGGCGCGCGCAGCAGCACGATCGACGCGCCGGTGGCGCGCGCGCAGGGTCGCGAGAGCGACGCCGCGTTCACGCCGAGCCCGGTGGACGTGGCGCCGAAGGGCTGGCGCGGCACGCGGCGCCCGCTGCCCAGCCCGGCCGAGCGCTCGCCGCAGCCGAGCCCGCGCCTCAGTCTGACGCTCAGCCACCAGAGCCGCGTGCGCTCGCTCTACAGCGGCGCCGTGCGGCCCGACAGCTCGAGCAGCGCCAGCAGCTTGGCCGAGTGGGAAGCGGGCGCGGCCGCCGTGCGACGGCAGCCGGCGGCGCCGCCGCCACCGCCGCCGCCCATGCTTAACCGCGTGGTGGCCGACGTCAGCGCTGGTCTGAACCGCGGCGCGCGACTGCTGCAGAAGACCGGCTCGCACGCGAGCTCTGGTTTCGAGTCTCAGGGCTCCGACTCGGACCTGGGGCCGCGGCGCGCAGCGGGCGCCACGCGGCCCGCGCGTACCGCCTACAAGACGGCCGCTGTGCCGGCCGCACTGCCGCCGCGCGAGGCGCCCGGCGACGGCGGCGCCGCGGACCGTCCTGAGCGTGCGTTCGGAGCTGCGGCCGCCGGCGGCCGGCCGCGACCAGCGCTGGGAGCGGGCGCCGCGGCTGGCCGGGCGCGCCGCGCCGCCGCAGGCGCTCATGCCGGCCGGCGAGGAGCTCGGTCACAACAGCATCCAGGACCACATCATCGCCACGCAGATGAGCCGGCTGCGAGAGCTGCCCATCACGGACGTGTACCACGAGCGCAGTATCGGCCTCGGCCTGGCGCCGCCGCTGGCCAAGCTGCTGATCGCGGCGCACGAGCGTGGCGTGGACGTGGACGCGGCGGCGGCGGTCGGCGGCGACTTCGGCTGCCTTTGACAAGCTGGCCGCGTCCGCCGACGGCCTGGCGACCATGCCGACCATGCCCGACTTCACGCCGAAGCCGGCGCCGTCGGCCGCGCAGCGCGCCGGGCCCAAGCCGTGGGTGGGGCCGCTGCCGCAGCCGGCGGCGCTGCTCGAGCAGCTGGCCGCCGACAGCTGCAAGACGTCGCCGTCGGGCAGCAGCGAGCTCTCGCGCCGCGACGACGGCGACGGCCGCTCCATGACCGACTCCAACTACTCGGGCTACTCGCCGGCGCAGCCACCGGGCGGCGCGCTCGCGCTGCGCGCCGCCGCCGAGGTGCACAAAGAGGCGGGCGCGCTCAGCCGAGCCGCCAGTCAGGAGCGCCTGCTGGCGGCGACCGGCGACGAGCGGCGGCGCCCGCTCGGACCGCGCGAGCCGGCGCGGCCGCCGCTCTCTGTGGCGGCGCGGCTGCAGCCAGACCAGCTGGCGCAGTACATGGAGCAGATGCTGAGCGGGCGCGAGGAGGCCGAGAAGGCGGCCGCGCCGCGCCGGCCTGCCGCCCTGCCGCGCACCAAGCAGAAGGCGGCCACGCAGCAGGGCGCACCGGCCGCCGACGCCTAGGCGGCGCGGGGTGCGGCCGGCGGTCGGCGCGGAGTCAAGCTGGCTATCCGCGGGTTCGCTAGGGGTCCCGCATCGGGACGGCCCGACAGCGCCCCTGCCGCTCTCTGCGATATTCTATTATATGTGCTTTACTCGTGATATGCTGCCAAATGGCTCCGCCCAATCATACTCATGTGGCGCCGGACGCGTGGGCGCGGTGGACGGTCCCTCCCGCCGCCAGTGTCAGCTCCGCATTGTCATGTCATACGGTTGTGATGCTTCCGTAAAAGGGTGCGGTCGGCGCTCCCCGAAATAAATGTTTTTTTTTCAACCGCAGGAACGTGTGTTGGATGGTATAAATCGCACAGCAGCCAGACAAAACACGGCGGACCTTCGCCCCAGCGTTTTCAGGTGATAAACCTCACCGACACATACCTTCACACGATCTCCGAGCTCTCAACAGTGGTCCTCCTGAAATCCGCACACCAAAACAACAGCAACTGGAAAGCTTGGAGGCATGGAGCAGCTGCACAATGGATAGCAGGTGGTTATGATGGGAATATACAGGCCTTGGACCTTGAGTACAAAAATCGCGAAGTTTACTAGCATTTCCGCCGGGCAACAAAAGGTGCCTGCCAATTCTGATTGCTGCAGCCAGTCCCATCACATACTCAATTTCTACATCATATCGTTTCACACCGGAATATGCCCACGAAGGCCTTGCCTTCCTGGTTAAATTCAAACGCAAGTGTCAGGGCTTCGTTATCGAAGCGGCACCGTGTTCCTCGCTCTGATCGGCGCCGCCTGCTCGCCTCGCGAGTTAAGACAGTTACCGTCTCGCAGCGCTCGTGTCTGGTCTGAATGACCGTGGTCTGACTGAAGGGAGCGCGAGCAGATAGAACACGTAATACTTGAATATGGCGCAGCCGCATTGAACCTAGAGTAAGCTTAAGTAAGCGTGAGCAGCACATTTATTCAGGCAGTGTGAGTTGTGAAGTAAGTCAAGATGTCTGGATGTCGTCCTCCTGAGGAATTCAGCTTCACATCGCCTGAGAGGTGGTCGGCCTGGCGTGATCGGTTCGTCCGATACAGACTGGCATCAGGACTACACAAAGAGGACGGTGACGTACAAGTAGCTGCGTTGGTTTACGGAAGCAGGATGAAATCAGCGCTGTGCTTCAAGGAGACGTACATGGATTCTGCGAGAGAATCTTCAGCGATCTTCTCGCCACACCGCGGCGTCTGGTGATCAGCAGAAAAGCAGCAGAGAAGAAGCAGGGAAGCAGCAGGGAAGCAGCAGGGAAGCAGCAGGGAAAAAGTGGCCTGAGGAGCAGCAAAGAAACAGCAGGGAAGCAGCAGAGAAGCAGCAGGGAAGCAGCAGCCTGAGAAGCAGCAGGGAGGCAGCAGTCTGTTGCCAGTAATTTCGTTTCGCAAGCGTATTAGTATGTATTTGCATTTGCTCAAGGGGGAGATGTATCGTGATGTTACTGGCGTGCGCCGGAGGCCGCCCCTGCTCGCGCCGCCAATGCTGCTGTACCTCGGTACGCCGCTGCCTCGACCGGCGGTGTACCGCCTAGGACGCCGCTCGCCGAGGTCGGCGCCGCCTGCTCGCCTCGCGAGTTAAGACAGTTACCGTCTCGCAGCGCTTGTGTCCGGTCTGAATGACCATTGTCTGACTGAAGGGAGCGCGAGCAGATAGAACACGTAACACTTGAATATGTTTCGAGTCACATCTGGCGTAAAACTCAGTGACGTGCCACAGCCGCCAGTGGCTGGATTGAGATCAACGCACGAAGCTAATTGCCGTTTGGACCAGAAAGATGTGTGTTTAAAGAAAAACACGCAATCGTCAGTCATATGACGCACGGCATCTGCAGCGATGCCGCGCGATCGAGTCCCATCGTGCACCGCAGGCGCCGCACAGATGTGTCCTGACCGGGTCAACTCTGTAACGTGTTTCCCCCGTCACCGGCAGTCCTGCGTGATGGTCTGTCATCTGGTCATCATGGGCATGATCTGGTCTGTGTCGATCTCATGAGTGTGATCTGATGAGCGTGACATGATGTGATCAGCATGATCTGGTCTGTGTGACCTGGTCTGTGCCTGCGTGATCTGGTCTATGTGATCTCGAGTGTGATCTGATGAGCGCGACATGATTTGATCAGTGTGATCTGGTCTGTGTGATCAGGTCTACGTGATCTGGTCGGTGTGGCCTGGCCCGTGTGATCTAATGAATGTGACCTGGTGAGCGTCATCTGCTCTGCGTGATCTGGTTAGCGTGATCCGCGTGCTGCGTTACCAGTCCTCCGCCATCCAAACGCCTGCTAATATGATCTACCTGTATTCACACTTTTTACAGCCAAGAAAACATAAACAAAAGAATGGAATGCATACGCCCCGTGGCTTAACCACAATTCTGACTATTCGTAACACACTTTTGGCTGGGGACGATCCCCATGAGACGCAACACCCCGGGGGCAGAAATTCATGCCACGCGCACGACTAATTCCGAGCAGAGACTAGGGACAGGGCGGGGCGGCACGCGAGGACCAGGACGTCATCGGGACCCAAAACAAAACACGAGCACGACCAGAGCACGACACACGGAGAGGGAAAGATGGGCTCGCCCGCCAGCGAGGACGACAGCAACGTAAGCCACTCCGCGGGTGTGAGGCGAACACGATAGACGCAAGCCCTGTACTGGACTCCACGCATTGTTCAAGGTGGGAGCTGTTCCGGCCGAGCGTGTCCCGACGTCATGCGAGGACACGCCGTCAGCGGCCGGGCCCGCGTCACTGTGTCGTTGAGCACACGCCTCGCTGCGAGCGCTGGCCTATTCAGGCGAAAAGCACGGGCTTACACGCGGTGGGCAGATATTAACACACCAGAGACGAAGTACCAGTATGGACAGAAATGCCTGCATTCTCGAACCTAAAGCACAGAAAAGAGCACTCGCTTTTGGCGCCGGCCCAGGGCCAGTGCGCGTGACTCGCGGGAGTGCGGAGTGGCGAGGACCGGACGCTCGTGGCCGGCGGCGCGGTGGACGCGGACGAGGCCGGCCCGCCGGCAGCCGGGCGGCGCCGCCGCCACCGGCGCTCGCCGCCCGCCCGCGCCGCCGGCCACCCCAGCGAGGCAGCCGCGTGATATGTGAGATAGTGAACGGACGCAGGCGATGCAGCGGCGGCTGCGGCTAAATAGACTGCGATGGGGCGAGGCGCGACGGCGGCGCGCGTCCCAGGCCCCTCAGTCGATCGACGAACGGGGTGGATCACATTTAAGACGGGCGCCGGGGTGCGGCCGCGGCCCTCTGGCGGGGCACCGACACCCGCGCCAGAAGCAAATCACTACCCTCCGCACTTCTCATTGGCGAGCAAGTGGCCTCCTAAATTTTATAGACTGATTAAATACGAATCAACTAAATCCGACGCACAATGACCAATAGCTAGACACACACGCAGAGGAACGGGACGACGCGGTGGCCGCTTCCCATAACGCTGGTGAACGAATCTGTCGCTAGGTGGCAGGCAGCACCGCTAGTCGTTCTCCGCCCGCATGCCGCGAACTTCGCCTTCCCTTCGTTGCTGCCAAACACAAAAGCATTAGCACTGAACGAGGCGAGCGTCTCACACGCAAGTAAACCGGCAGGTGTGCAAAGACCGCGCGCCTGGGGGGGGGGGGGGGCGGGAGGGATATCGATCAACACCGTCAGCGCACGTGCGACCGAGGCGAACGCGGCCCAAGTGTCGACATCCCACAGCACGCTCGAGCAAACGGCCTCACCTGAAAGCGCGGTCTGAGAGGGAAGTTGGAGGACTTCAGCTCGCTATCCACTACCGAAGTAACTGAAAGTGAAGGAATCACTCACGAACAGAGACCGCGACAAATGTGTTAGCCGGCTGGTCAGATTGGAAGAGGGCCGGTGGACGGGTGGACCGGCGGACGGTCGGCGCCACCGCGGCTCTCCAGGAGGGGATGCTGGTCCCTCACCTTGTCCAGGTCGGCCTTGGTCTTATCCTCGAGCTCGCGGATGTCGTCCATGGTCATGCCGTGCCACTTGTCCAGCCAGCAGAACACTTGCCTGTCGCACCCGAGCCCGACCAGCGTCAGTCGAGGCGGCTGACAGGCGTCACATGTCCCCCTCTCCCACACACACGCACACCTTCAGGGCCCATCCGAGTGGGTGCCGCGGCGGGCCAGACCCCTACAATCGGAGCTATCAGCCATCGAAAAAAGCCGGGCCGCAAAGACAGTACAACACTGTACGTGGCATCTGCTGCAGTTCACTACGCATCATGTGTTTTGCACGAGGTATGCCAATCGCTTTCCGCCTCGGCTGTGTCCCGCCGTCTCGAGCTGGCGTGAGACACGCCGGGCGCCGCGTGCCCCCGGAGGTGTGGGACAGCCCCACCCGACCCACGGTGGCACCAGGCGACGCACCCCAGCCCGCGACCTGACCTCTCGCATCGCACCACGCACCACAGCCAGGGCTAGTGAGGGGCCATCACCACGTTACACCGGGGTCAACAAACAATTACAGGGCACCCGAGCCCGATGGCGGTTATCAAGAGCAGAGGGCAAGCGAGAGTCGGAGAAACCGCCCCGCGGCCGGAAGCCGGCTGTACGTGAATCCGCAGCGCTGGGCCCGCCATCCGGCGAGTACTGTGCGTGCTGGCGAGCGAGCGCCAGTGAAACAAGGCCGGCGGAGAGTGCAACAAAGTCCAGGGACATTCTCCTAATACGGCATCAAACAAAACCTGTAACAATTAAACTTGCATGGCTTAGTCCTAAATACTGAAGACACGGCAACTATCACAACATACGCCACAAACTAGTAGCAAAATATCTTAATGACGTACACTTATACTCTGGCATATCTTATCGCTGTTACACAATCCGTACGCGCTGCTTAAATCATTGATGGGTCCGTAACTGAACGCCTTCAGTCGCTCCGCCATCGAAGCCCACAGCAGCCCAAAACTCCTCCCAAAAACGAACATGACACGGCACACCGGGCAACCATCTCCACGAATCCACGAATTGCAAGCAGCTACAAGCAGCTACAAGCGGTTGGGGAAGCGAAGTGGAGAGAAGGAAGAGGGAGAGAGAAAGAAGAGAGAGAGAGAGAGAGAGAGAGAGAGGAGAGAGAGAGAGAGAGAGAGAGAGAGAGAAGAGAGAGAGAGAGATAGAGAGAGGAGAGAGAGAGAGAAGAGAGAGAGAGAGAGAGAGAGGAGAGAGAGGAGAGAGGAGAGAGAGAGAGAGAGAGAGAGGAGAGAGAGGAGAGAGAGAGAGAGAGAGAGAGAGAGAGAGAGAGAGAGAGAGAGGAGAGAGAGAGAGAGGAGGAGAGAGAGAGAGAGAGATAGAGAGAGAGAGATAGAGAGAGGAGAGAGAGAGGAGAGAGAAGGAGAGAGAGAGAGAGGAGGAGAGAGAGAGAGAGAGAGAGAGAGAGAGAGAGGAGAGAGAGAGAGAGAGAGAGAGAGAGAGAGAGAGAGAGAGAGAGAGAAGAGAGC